CTACCATGTCTACAACTTGCAAACTAAAAAACTCATCATCAGTCGAGATGTTGAAGTTGATGAGAATGCTTCTTAGAATTGGGATGAAGAAAAAGTGGAGAAGAACATCCTTATACCAGCTCAACTACCTCAAGAAGAATCTGAGGAAGAAGGCCCAGGTAAACCTTCTTCACCTCCACCAAAACAACATGATCAAGAATTATCATCATTAGAGTCTACTCCAAGACGAGTAAGATCTTTGATGGACATATATGAAACTTGTAACTTGGCCATACTTGAACCTAGAAGCTTTGAAGAAGCATTAAAGCAAGAAGTATGGGTCAAGGAAATAGAAGAAGAGATAAAGATGATCGAGAAAAACAACACATGGGAGTTAGTAAATTGTCCCCATGGAAAAGATATCATTGGGGTTAAGTGGGTCTATAAGACAAAGCTCAACCCTGATGGCACCATACAGAAACACAAGGCAAGGTTAGTAGCTAAGGGTTACTCACAACAACCTGGGATTGACTACAATGAGACATTTGCACCAATAGCTCGTCTTGATACCATTAGAGCTTTAATAGCTACTGTGGAACAAAGAGGGTGGAGTATCCAACAACTAGATGTCAAATCATCCTTCCTCAATGGTGTACTTGAAGAAGAGATCTATGTGGAGCAGCCACAAGGATTCATTTCTGAAAGCGAAGAAAGCAAAATGTTAAGACTAAGAAAAGCACTTTACGGTTTGAAGCAAGCACCTCGAGTATGGTATAGCAGAATTGATCAGTATTTCATAGATCAAGGATTCAGGAGGAGCAAGAGTGAGCCTACACTTTACATCAACTCTCAAGGTCAGTACACTCTTTTACTCTCTCTATATTAAGATGACCTTATCTACATGGGAAATAATACCAAGATGGTGATAGAGTTCAAAGAAGACATGATGAAGACCTTTGAGATGACCGACCTTGGTTTGATGAGTTACTTCCTCGATATAGAGGTAATTCAGAGAAATGAAGGGATATTCATCTCACAAAAGAAATACACAGAAGGCTTACTTAAGAAATTCAATATGTACGGTTGCAAACTTGTCGCTACTCCACTCATAACAAATGAGAAACTACAGAAGAATGATGGAACACCAGAAGATGATGCATCCAAATATCGAAGTCTAATTAGAAGCCTTCTATATTTGACAGCTACATGGCCAGACATAATGTATGCTATAAGTCTTCTATCAAGATTTATGCAAAACCCAAGTCAAATACACTTTGGAGCAGGAAAAAGAATTTTAAGGTATCTACAAGGAACAAAAGAGTTTGGTATATGGTACACTACCGAAACCAACTCAGAATTACTTGGCTACACCGATAGTAATTGGGAAGGTTCGGTAGATGACATGAAGAGCACCTCTGGCTATGCTTTCTCACTAGGATCGAGAATTTTCTCTTGGGCGTCGAAGAAGCAAGCTACAATTGCACAATCAACAGCAGAAGCAACATATGTGGCTACTGCTGAAGTAATGAGTCAAGCTATATGGCTTCGCAGGATACTTAAAGAAATGGGAGAAAAACAAGATGAGCCTACTAAAATTAATTGTGACAACAAATCAGTAATTACAATGGCGAAAAACCCAGTGCATCACAATAAAACAAAACATATAGCAATCAAGTATCACTTTCTTAGAGAAGCTGAAGCAACTAAGGAGATCAAAATCGACTACTGCAGAACAGAAGAACAAATTGAAGACATATTCACGAAGGCGTTACCGAGACCAAGATTTGAAGAGCTGCGAACTATGTTTGGAGTTACAGAAATTTGCATCAAGGAGGAGTGTTGAAATTGCTACAAATTTCTAAAATATTCTAAATATAATATGTATGGTAATGGTATAATACCCTAGAAACTATAGTGTGTATGAGTATGGTAGAATAATCTAGAACTATAAGTGTATGTAAAAGATAGAAGAACTTAGAACTATCATGATACTAACATATCATGAAAATTCTAGAAAAATCTAAAGTAATGTAGAAACATTCACCACCATTGAGAGGTTGGTGACTTGAGCCTATAAATAGACATTTGGTATCTTGTAATGTATCATCCAAGAAATCAATGGCATAGCCTTCTTTCTAAATAACTCTCTAAAATTATCTTCTATCAACTATCAACTACACCACTACTAACAAATATTACACAAAGATTTTAAAGAACCTTCAATAATTAGTAAAATTAAGCGTCTTTATTTCCTGTAAATAGATTTAAGAAACTGTTTAAGATATCTTCAAAAGATTAACAATATAATATATCACAAAGAAAAAAAAATTCTACAGTGTGCTCCTAAGATTCACCTTGTATTCAGGATATCCAGCCATTCTAATTACTCTAACCTCCCTCATTTTACTCTCTTTATGACAATCACATGATTAACTCATATACTAATATGTTATGATGTTTGGATACCAAAATTAAAATCTTTTCATGTAGGAAATATCAAAGTTATTAGTTTTAAGAAACTTAGACTAAAATGCAGTGGAAATGAACAAGTATTTAATAAATTAAACAAGTTTAATATTTGGAGAGATTACAGTTTCTGATCATCATTGATCTCGAGTTTCTTCTGGCACCTAGTGGTGGGATTCGCAACATTGAACTGAAAAACATAAACAAAAGTTCAACAACAAATAGACAAAACGATAAATCAGACGCAAAAAGAGAAAAGAAACTGGTTATATATTTTGTCGAACACGTGACGCGCAAGTTGCAAAACGATAGTAACGACGACAATTCTCTGACAATTCACACGCCGCAAATAATCATCAATCAACAATACGAACAGTACAACAACTCAACATCATGAAGTGAAAGAATTAATTTTATACTGTCAACCAATGACAATCATGCATTAGGATAAGTCAGACTGAAAATTTTAAAAAACTTATATAACATGACAGTATGATATAATCTTATTGGATGATAGTGTACGATAATTAAACCCTTTTTAAAATATTACTATAAAACATTTCCATAACTTGACAGTTTTTAAACTGCCCTATTCAACCAATTAAAAGAGGTAGTGTTTTCTTCTCTCTTTCCATGAGTTTGGTATTATTATTTTTCAATGTTGATCAATTTTTATGTAGATAATATAGAAACATCCTCCCATAGCAGGAAGGAAGTGGAGAAATGAAATTCTCCATTTTCTTGGCAACACTAATGCAACCAAAACTGTGTTATATCATAAAAGTTTGTTTTTTATGGTGGACTTGCAATCCGAGATTCTGCCATGTTGATAGCGGACGGACAACAGGGAGATGCTCATAATAAACTGTTCTTCTTTTTATTATATTGTAATAAATTATAAGGTGTGCACTTAGTTTTATTTACTGTGCTATGTATGTAAGTTGCTTTATGAGAATTTTAATGATTGGTACATACTAATTTCTTAACTTCGTCTTCCCTCTATTTAGATGCAAATAATTGATTCTTAAGTAAATTAGTTTAACGAAAGAGTAAGAAATAATTATGTTTTGTATTAGGTCAAAAAGAGAGATGAAATGGTTCATTGTGTATTTTATAAATACGTTTAATCAACTTAGAAAATTGTGTGTTTTGAATATTTAAGGTTTAAAATATTATTTGTTATATTGAACATTTGTGTGGTATGTATAATTGATCACTTTTAACATTTATGGATTACAAAATGTAATTGAATGTTATAGGATTTTTCAATAATAATTTAGAGAGAGATTGGACACTAAAAAAAGAATATGAAACAATTTAAAAATATGAAATAATATAAAACTATGTAATATATTTAATTGTTTAGAAGTGTAATATATTTGATAAATTTTAATTATCACAATATTGGTAAGTTGATCTCAAACACACGTATTTTAGTGTTGATTATTTGAAATTTCAGTAGTATATTACTAAAATATATTAACATCGAACATTTATCATATTTAATTTTATTTTTAATAATTGTATTCAAAAAATATTCTTTTTAAGGAGTATGTGAATAACTTCGTAAAAGACATATACTAAACAAACAAGTATGAAGAAAGAGAAGGAGTAATCTTATTTTAAATTTTAATATTTGAATCTAAATAATATTATTTTTAAAGAGACATATATGATAGTCTTGATTCTACGGTGCGGGAGGGAGAGAGATAGAGATTTCATACTTCATATTAATTTATTCTTAAGACGACGTACAATAAAAACTTCGTAAAAAATATATATATTTATTTTTAGTCTTTGTGCGCATTAAAAAAGTGAGAGAGAGAGAAAATTTTCACCTATTTACCCTATCACTCCGGGTCTTTTTCATCTGGAGCACTAAGATATTTACAAGAATTAAGCAATATATCTAAATAAATAAATAAACAACACATATCATCTCAATCATATTTAAAAACTACTAACTATTAAAAGAATACAATTAATAATTTGAGTGTATTAATTTTGTATTACATTTATTATCCGACCTGTTTTGTCTCCCGTAAATACATACTTATTTTCTCAACTACTATATTTTATACATATCTTTTTTTTTGAGTGTATTAACTTCGTATCACATTTATTATATATTTAATATAAAATCAAGTCACTATACACAAATACATCAAATTTTATTACACAAATAATTCAATTTAAATCAAAATTACCGTTTATATTTTCACGTGTGTGCATAGTGAAAAAAAGCAGGCAGATGGACAGGAGAGTGCTCGTCTGAAAGCTAGTAATAATAATAATAACACAAGATTTTAAATATATAAAACTAATAAAAAAAGAATTAGTGATGGTTTTTTGTTGTCCGTAGATAAAACATAGTGAATGACTTTGGCTATAGGGTAATTTTCTTGTAGTGTATTAAATTGTTCAACATTAAAATGTTTCCATCACCCAAAGAAAGTATAACTTAAAATATCATAAACATAATATAATTATGTTGTTAACAACACTTTCTATAATTTTTGACAAATTTAACATTATATGGTACAAGAAATGGATTATTAAGACTTGAAGGGCTTATATGTCTGAAGGTTTGAGATAATTCCTTCAACCGATCCAACTGCAGCAACAAGACTGACAATCAAACAAAACCCACTTAGCACTTTCATTGCAATCCATATAAGAGAATACTTAGGCACTTTTGCTCGTTTTAAGTACATCTCTATTGGAAAATACACTGTCAATGGAAAGAACGATAAAGCTCCCATCAAACCCGTAACGTTGTTGAAGAATGGAAATATGATAGCAATCAATGTTATGATTATCACATATACTGTCCTCCATATTAACTTGAACACGTTCATTCTCCAAGTCCCAACCAATACAATTCTCACAGGATATTCTTTTGTTATCAATTTGCTTTGTGGCCAACGCTTACTACTCCAACTTTCCACAGCAGAATATATTGTTTGTGAAAATAACTGTACATGGAAAATTAATTAATAACTATAATAGTAAGTAGAAAAAATATGTTTATAGAATGATTATTTACCTGATAAGCTCCAACCAGATGAACAATAATGAAAATATTAGCAACGTCAACTAGCCAAAATGGTTCATAAAATCCAAATCCAGTTAAAAAGTTTCCTGGTGCATTATTCCCAAATGCTGCATAACCTAGAAGACCACATAATGCATAAAAGAATGTGGTGATTAAAACTCCAACAACGTTTGATTTCTTCATGACTTTATTTTCTGGTGGACTTGATTTTAATGTGTCCTATACAAGAAAATAGTTCAAAATTAGATATAGTCACGAATCTTAACTGAATTAAGAACATATAATTTTGGTTAACATTACTTGCCTCTATCTCAACAATGACCATACTGAAAGCATATGCAGAAGCTATGTTTCCAAGTGCTTGAAAGGTATTCCATATCTTCTCTGAACTTGTCACATCGACTCCAACAACGAGCCCGGTAAGGCCTGTCTTAACATGGTTTCCTCCGACTGTACAGGTTCAAAAGTGATCGTTTGAGTAGATAAATTCGGATAAGTCAATACAAATATGAAAATAATGCCTAACCTGCAATTTTTGCTATGGAGAGACCAATACCAATGGAAGCATAACTAAAAGACATGACAGAAGCAACAACAGAGAGCCATGAAAGTTCATGGAAATTAGGGATTTGACTTAGTATAATCTGAAAGAGCCCAAAGATGGCTATAAATTGATAGGTAACTGTAGTGCAGTCTGCTTCATGGCCATGCTTATGAAAACAATTTGATTTTATTATGGCCCTGTTCATAAACAAGCCAAATTTATTATTAATAAAATCATTAAAAAAAACAGTTTTCATAGCTTTAAAAATCAGCTAATAATTATTGAGAGTTGTTTGAAGTTTTTACTCCATGCTAATGGATCCTGTGAGAGTGAAGGCAATGGTAACACACACAAGATTTGTGTACTGAGCCAATGCACAAAGCTTATATTGAAGTCCCCCTGTAGAAAAAGAAAGAAAAAGTTAAATGCAAATACCATACACCACCAATCAACTTCAGAAAGAGAATAATACTAGCAGGATCTAAACATACATCATAATTATAAATGAGACTTGTTTGTTATTCGACTTCTTTTTATTCAACTCATTTTTACAATAATTATAAAAAATACGAGTTTGGATAAAAGATGACATAAATTTCCTAAATATATAGATGAAAGTCAATCATTAAAAACAAAATTTTGTAATTACTTTAAAAAATTTCTACCATCAACTAGTACAATTAAATTTCGATCCTCAGATCAAAATTTGTCTATGATTATATTAGACAAGATTTGGCACGATTTTAAAAAAAAAAATTGAAAAACTATTTACCCCACATGATAAACCTCATACGAAAATATTATATTCGTCAACATTAAATCCTTACAACTAAAAATTGATTTTTTTTACAAAATCCGGCAAAAAAAATTTCAAATATATGAATAAAAATTCTATATAAAAATTTAATTTTAAAATTGTCTAAAATATATGTCATCGTTAAAGAGTTTAATCAATTTTCAATTGTTAGATCTAGATTTATCTATGAGATGAAATGAAATTTCACACTTTGTTTTTAAATTCATTCAAAAACCTACTTGCCGCACAAGATATATACCACAATAAATCTATTATATGGCTACTGTTCATGAGAGTCTTCTCAAATTTTCGGAAGACATGTATAGGTTAATTGCAGTTTAATCATAGAAAAACAAATAAAACTCATGTTTAACCGTGAAAATATTTTGTGAAGTTTTATTTAACAATAATTTAACTATGATATTTTTTTGGTTCTAGGTGGTTATTCGCACTACTCATCCATAAATTAATTTTGAAATTTTTATTAATTTTAGGTAATTGTTCGCTTTACACACCCTCAAAGACGATTATATGTGTATCTAATGCATATTGAATTTCTAACGTTAGTTTTACGTTGACAAAAACTGATACAAATATATAATTGAACTACAAACATTAAAAATTGAATTTTGTTATTACCTAAAATATTTTTTACCATTATTTTGTAGGTAGGATTTCTGATGCCATGAACAGGATCAGGATACCTGTAGCAATCAGTTGTGAGACAAGAAGTGAGGAGAGTGATGAGTGAAAACACAATGAGAGAGACAGTCCCTCCAATCCACCCCAATTGTGCCATAGCCCATGCCAATGACAACACTCCAGATCCTATCACAGCACTCACTATGTGTGCACTTGCAGTTACCCATGTTCCTTCATAATCATACAATTTCAAGTTAATATCACAAAATGTATGTCAAAATTTAAAATTAAAAAAGAAAAAAGAAAATGAAAGAATGGGAAATTTTTAAATTGATCAAGCTAAAATACAAACCAGTTCTTTTGATGACTCCATCGTCGTCATATTTCTCATTTTCTAAAGAGAAGCTACTTGACACCATCATGGCTATGACTCACTAGTTCGTTCACTGTCTCTTTTTCAGATTCTTTGATTTAAGAGATATATAAAGTTGGAATTTTGTAAGACAGACTCAAGTCGCGGCATCTGTTTAGTAATCTTTATGCAATGTATACATTTGCTTCCTTAAATGCAACAAAATATGTGCTAGTTTAATTCTAGCTAAGCAATAATATAAAATATTGTAAATATATAAATTCAAATCTACAATATCCTATTTATTCATATTTAAAGAGTGAAAATCAGACCATGAAAGAATGCTAGCAAATATATGGGGGAAAAGTTATTACATTTTTAAATTTAGTGACAATTCAATATTTTGTTTTAGTAAAATCTATTTTAATGATAGAAAAAAATTTAATAAAATTGGATTTGTTAGATAAAAACCAATGCAGTTAAAAATTTATGAGAAACTGGTCTCATACAAATTAACAGAAGAAAAGTTTAACTATAGAATAAAATATACTTCTTTTAAAATAAGTATTGAGTAACATATTCGAAAAGAAAAGTATAAATATGGAGTAAAATATTTAGAAAATAATTTTATACTGTCAATCAATCACAACCATATTAAATATTAAATTATAATATTACGACTTTTCATTAGATGACAATGTAATATATATATATATATATATATATATATATATATATATATATATATATATATATATATATATATATATATATATATATATATATATATATATATATATATATATATATATATATATATATATATATATATATATATATATATATATATATATATATATATATATATATATATATATATATATATATATATATATATATATATATATATAATTTAATGTAATTAAAATTCAAAAGAAAATAATATTTTAAGAATTAAAAGTAGAAAACATAAATTTAGGATAAACATACTCATTTTAAAGAAAAAGTAACATTAAAAAAGTTAGATATAATTGATATTATTTTTTAATTCAATATACTTTTAGAAAATTGATATTTTATTATTTAAATAAATTGAATCCCAAGATCACTCGAGGCTTACCAATTAGATCAATATTTTTTTTATTATTTAAATAAATTGAATCCCAATATCACTCGAGACTTACCAATTAGATCAATTCGTATGGAGATAGGTAAATTATTAATATTATTTTGTATTCATGTTTTATTCTAGAAGATGCTGATAAAAAAATATAGATAATATACTTGAGTATGTTAGAAAAATTAAAATAACTGCAATTACATATTAGAAATAAATAAATCATATTAAAATTCTCAAAAGAAAAATATAATCTAGGGATAAAATATAAAACCTTTTAAAATAAAATATAGATGAAAATAATATTTAAAAAGTTGGATTCATTGATATTAATTTTTAATCATTATTTAAATGATTATAAAATATTCAAATAAGTTGAATCCCAAAACGAGACTCCCTACTTAAATCAATTTCTATTGAGATAAGTCTTTTTTTTTACTATCACTTTTTATTTTTATTTTCTTCTAGAAGAAGCAAGTAAAAAATTTATATAGTTTATTTTCTAATAGTACAAATGCATGACTATCACTAATGATTAATGACTGTCAAAGACTTTATTGAAAATGTAAAATAATCAAAAATATTTTTGTGAATTTTTTCATAATTTTTGGAGTTGAAATGAATTTTAGAAGTTTAAAACAATTTAAACAAAAAAAAAACATAGAAAAAGATATAAAATCAGAAAAATCAAGATGCGTTGGATATGAATTCATTAAATGAGGTGGCAAATTCAAAGGTGTAGAAGTGAGGGAGCATGGTGGAAATTAGTTTGAAAAATACGATGGATCACAATTTAAAACAACCAATTGAAACATTTTCAAGTGGCAGCTTCTCATTGGCTGAAGCAATTCTTCAACCTCAGGCCACCATCTTCTTTCACAAGTCGTCTTCTCCGACCAACCTTCACCAGAGTTTATGTATTTGGTAACATGAGAAGCTGAGACTAACATCATTGTGTTCGTCTCTTCATTGCAAACTCAATCATATCCACCATGAAAATTTATTTAAAACGACTTGAGAGAATTTTGAAGAAACTCGTGAAAAGTTTGAAAACAATTTTTAAAATTAAATGGTGATACTCAAAGATAAATGAAAACTAAAGGAAACATGAGCATCAGAGAGTCAAGGACTATATTATGATATCAAGTTTGAAGTAAATTGATGCTTCTAACTACCTGAACGAAATATGGTTGAAAGAGAAAATCAGAGTAGTTGGTTGAGGAGTTTCAGAGCACCTTAGACCTTGATTCTTGCTCCCTTAACTTCAGAGAAGAACGATGAAAAGAAAGGACGTTGGAAATTAGCTTGAAAATGTTTTGAAATATGAAACAAAGTCTCATAATTGGGAGGTTTAAAGTGAACCTGAACATAGGTTTTTTGGCTCTTTAAAGCTTGAGAATGATGTATATAGTTTGCTCTATTTATAGGGAGTGTAATGCTTAGCTCATGCGTGTGAAATGAATCCAAATTTGTGTGAATTTGTTTGCAATCGAAAGTGAGAAAAGTGTGACTTGAGGAGCACTATAACGCAGCCAATTCTCATGCATTATGAGTCGTTTTGCTTGAGTGAACCTCTCTAATCATGTTTAGGTCCAAAACGCGTGGTAATTTGATCATTAAAGTGAGTTTTGTTGAGTGGAAAATTATGACTAAAGTAGAAAATGCAGCTTCTGCACCCGTTTCAAGCTCACACGCCATCTTGTACACTCGACCTTTTGGGCTCATTATTTTTGCAATTTGATCACATCATCACGAAGAGTTCAATGTGACAAGAAAGTATTGATTTGGACACCTGAGCAAAAAAAATTACCAGGTGAAATTGGTACAATGACCTGAAATTACAAGTCACAATATTTCTAAGTCCAAAATGACCTATAATGTCATCCAACTTTCAATTGCTTTGCAAGCATAATTGGACCTGTATCTTTGAAGAAAACATTAAAAGGGCATCACAAATGATACGTAGCAAAACTAATCACTCATAAATGTTTAAATTTGAGAGAGTTATGATCTTGGAAAGTTAGGAAAAATTCACTTAAAATTAGGTCAAATTTCACTAAGTCCACAAAGTAACTTCTAATGTCTTTAAACTTTTGATGATCTTCCAAACATAAATGGCTCTTGACTTGTAGAGAGAAGTTATAGATGATGTCAGAGAGAGTCATATGCTCAAAGGATCACTGAAAAATATTGAAAAATGAGTGAGTTATGATATTTTAAACTTGGAATTAAAATGTTGACTTTATGGTCAAACCACTTTGAATCAACTTGTGAACTTAGACTTTTCTTGCACTTAAAAACACATTGATGATCATATGAACTCAAAATGATATGACCTTTAATATCCTTTATTTAATCTTGGCCAAGGCTTGAGGTAAATTATTGAAGAAGACATGGAAATAAACACATGAACCTTTGAAATTTCTTGAGAAACAAGTTATCAATCTTTGAGGTACTCTTAATCAATATGAGATTAAATGATACTTGAGACCTTATGCTTTGAGATTAGAAGTCATGTTTTGATGATAAAGCCCTTGAGAATCAATGATTGGCCATACTTTGACTTTGAGGAAGTAAAACCTTGTTGAGGGAACCGTGCTTGATGCTTTTGATTCAAGGTATACCTTGCAAAATAAACAAGAGGAAACAAGACATATTTTTTATATTTTGATTAGTGGTTAGTATAAAATAAAGTATATAAACACGAAATAGAAAGATCCACAAGAAAAGTGTTTGATGATCTCTACAAAGGCAAGACTCACTACAATATTTTGCCTCAATAGCAACGCCTAATTTTTAAATAATAAAATAATTTGTTCTTGTAGAATGTAATAGACAACGACTTTTATATTCTCTTGTGGTAGAACATATTTTTTTTGCAAATTTTTTGAAACGACCAATAACTATTCTTGTAAATGGATACGAGAACGGGGTTTTATAATCTTTTTTGACAATGTTTAAAATTTATTCTTATAAATTTTACAATAATTTTAATAAAAAGTATATATAAAATATTGTTCTGGACTGGGCCTGCCTTGGCCCAACAGGCAGATAAAGGCCCAAATCCAGACAACTCCTCAAAGAATGCTCACAAACGGACCACCACCGAACGTGCCGACCACAGACTGCAGCTGCTATGCCCGCCATTGCCCGTGACAAGCAGTGTCCCCGACCAAGGGAACTCTAGCTCGAGACCAGCTCGAGCACCCTCCCCGTAGGGCAGACTCTATTCACCCCAACCGTTGTAGAATCCTCTAAGCTCCGGAAAGACCGCGTCTTCGTCCCTCCTTGTTCTTCGTACAACATCACCAGGAAGGGGATCACGTGCGGGGCCCTACTACACACGTAGAACCTGGCAGTTCCTTTATTGGGCCAGTTCTGGTCGGCCCAATGAGGGGACCTTGGCCCAGCGCTGGGGGCTATAAATACCCTCTGTTCTAAGAGGGTCAGGTATTCATCTATTACACACCTATAAACTTTTGGCCTGCTCATTCTGTCTCTCACTTTAGCATCGGAGTATCTTGCAGGTACCCCCCCCCCCCCCCCCATCTCTCACTCAAGCCAGTTCGAGCCTGCCGTGACGGTCCAAGTCTGATCAGGTAAGATCAGTGGCACCGTCTGTGGGAATCTAGTCTCCCCGTCTTGCAAACTCTCGAAGACCAAAGCTAAAAATCACCTCCTACCGTCATGGCTGACCAAGTTCGAGATGACCAGAATGTCCACGTCGTCGACGCCAAGAACAACCTCACGGATAAGAATGGAATCCCCGACAACACCGGCAACCCCGACCATAGCACACTCCCCGGGGGAACCATCCTCGGGCCCTCGGGCCACCGCGACGGAGCCACTGCCTCATCTTTTTCAGTCCCTCCCCCACTCAAAGAAGACAATACGGCTCCCCCAAACTATCTAGCTGCCCAATTCCAGGAAGTCCTTGTCCCCGTTAGGGCAGA